GTGTGTGTGTGTGTGTGTGTGTGTGTGTGTGTGTGTGTGTGTGTGTGTGTGTGTGTGTGGACACGGATCCAGTTTCTCCCTGTAACAGATCACCTTGACTCCCACAGATTCAGTTTCTGCTCCCGTGTGACTTACACATTAATACATGCAGCATCACAGAGAACCAGCAGTTTTTTTTTTATTTAGTCTGGTTCTGGTTCTGCTTTGGATTTCTTTTCTTCTCTCCTGACTGCAGGGTAAACCCATGGTGATCGCCGGGGGCTCCCAGTGCTCGCTCCCCCGGCGTCGCGTTACCTCCCTCGGGGCACGATGGGCTCGTGAGCGATGCCTTCTCCGTGGAAACGGGTGACGTTCTCCGCAGCCTCGGTGCTGTGCACGGGCTCGGTGGTCCTCCTGGTGGTGGCCCTGTCCACGGAGAGGTGGGTCACCGGGCGGATCCTGTGTCAGACAGGGGTGGACATCGTGAATGCGTCCCACCCGGAGTTGGACCAGTTCGTGGGGGACATTTACTACGGCTTGTTCCAGGGAGGGAAGACCAAGAAGTGCGGCCTGGGCAGCAGGCGCTCCAAAATCTACAGTAAGATGTGAAACCTGTCAGACYTGGTCTTTCACAGTCTATCATTGTCTTTTGAGCTCTTCTTAATAATTTCAGGTTTCATAATAATACGTCCTTGTATCTGCTGACCTCCATAGTTTTTCCAAACCTGGTGCAAACACTGAACGGTGGCCTCCACATGATGGTTATTCTCTTCCTTTTGGTAGCCATCGGTTTTGCTCTGGTCAGTCTATCCTTCTCTATTTACAACGCCCGAAAGGTTCCCTACCAGAGCATCAAGGGGCACAAAGGTCTCTATCTGTGGAACCTCATTGCTGGTATATGTGAGGACTAAATGTCTTACTTTTAATAACTCTGTCTTCATTTCCTCTCTCTAAAGATATCGCCCTCCTGACCTCTCTCCTCCTGTTTCCAGCTTTCTTTGGCGCCCTTGGAGTTCTGTGTTTCCTGTCAGCCATGAGACATCACGGCCTGACAGAGAGGGTGGCGAACTATAAAGAGAACCTGTTCTCTCTGGTCATCCTGGATGACAGCCTGGACTGGTCCTTTTGGCTCGGAGTCGGCAGTGTCGGGACTCACATTGCCGTCTGCGGAGTGGTTGCCATGAGTCGCGTTAAGCTGCCCAAACCGGAGATCAAGAAGCCCGAGGAACCCACCGTCTCTGCCGTGGACCTGCTCTACTGAGGGACACACAGGAGAGCGAGCGTCGCTGGTGGTGTTTTCTGTGGCAGATGGACGATCAGCAGGCTGAGACCCACTCAGTGCCATAGCCCCTTAAAGTGCCTGTGACATGCCTCCATTACAAAAAGTCAAAGAAAACATCTTTAAATGTAAGAAACTTGGCATAATTCACACAATTTTATCCATTTTGTCCCATAACTGGCATATTTTCTTTTGATCTTGCCTCAGCCAAAGTGAAACAGGAAGTGACATCAAAGGGGAACACTTTAACTCCMTCGTCTTTGTCTTTTGGAACAATATTATTTTCACTTTGACTCTTTTTTATCTCTGTGATAAAAGCTCCAAATCTAAATCTAAAGAAACATCAGCTTCTTCCCTACAGTCTGTGTTGTTAGCTGTTGTAGCAATGCTCTCTTCACATGCAGACATTCCCCTTTGACATCACTTCCTGTTTCTTCGCATACAAAAATCTCAACAACTGTTGGTCTCAGCAGCCTGAATTTTTTTAGCAGTATGTTATCAATGTTAACTTTACAAAAATGAATTCATATTTATTACAAAATTTGATGTCACAGGCGCTTTAATGTTGACCGTGTTTAGGCTCATTTAAGCCACATGTGTTTTTATGAGCAATTGTCTTCAGGGTAAAAAGAAGTGTTATAGGGACTTGAGCACAGTCTAGAAATCTGTTTGTTCACTCAAAAAGCCAACATTTAGGAGATAGCTACAATGTTTTAACTCTATTTTCCCTCAGACAAGACTGGTGTATGGCCGTTTGGGAAACCACACTCATTTTGGATTATGATGCGAAGTTTCATAAAGTCTTTTGTTCCCAGGATTAGGCCTTCAGATTATGAGGTGAATGTTGAGCTCTGTGAAGACGTTACAACAGGACATCTGTGTGCTGTATTCATGTGGCATATGCGTGTTTGATTTACAGAAACGCTGACAAACTTTTATTCTTATCAAGTAAAAGTCAAGATGTGTTTTTTTAAGGATTTGAGCTACATGTCTGCTATGTTTCAGTCTGTTTAAAATACGAGAAAGATGACAGAATGCAAGAACAATAATATCAACTGGGATCTCTCTTGATAGATATTACTGTTTGAATATAAGAGACAAATATAGGATCATTGATGGAGAAATGTGATACATTAAATTTATGACTCGCAGAGTTTGAGGCAGAAAACTGGCTCTGCAGGTGTCCCATTCAGATGAGAACGAGAACTTTTTGCATGTTAAAAAAAAGCTGATTGTCTGATTTGATCCTTGAAGATTCAAAACAAAAGACAACAAACTAATTTTCTCATGAATACTGGTTTATTCTTTTAGACATGAGCTGGTTCCTCTGCAGAGACACCAGTGTCCACATCTGAACATCCCACACTGGATTATTGTGTGTTTGTGACCCAGGCTGACAAAAAGAGTCACAAGGAAGAGTTGTTCAACACTGAGTTACTTTTATTTTCAAATTCTTCATCTCAAAAGCTTAAATGATACGTAGTTTGTTGAAATTTGGCGATTTGTTTGTTTTGAGCAGCTAGTTTTGTTTATGAGAATAGCAATCTGAAAACCTATTTTTTGTTGGTCAGGAGTGATGTCATCAGGAGTTACAGTCCTGATGACATCACTCCTGACCAACAAAAAAATAGGTTTTCAGGAGTGATGTCATCAGGACTGTAACTCCTGATGACATCACTCCTGACCAGGTTTTGTTGGTCAGGAGTGATGTCATCAGGAGTTACAGTCCAATATTTGGAAAGTGGAACCCACAAGCTTTAGAATGAAGTCAAACATATAATTTTCTGGAGCTACTGCAGCCAGATACAAGATTATTGGACAAAGGGTTATTTCTGATGACTGTAAGAAAATTTCAATTAAAAGTAGATTAGGAAGATTCCATTTTAGTTACTTGTTAAATGGTGTCTATGGACTTATTTTACGTATATTTTGCTAATGTTTTTTGTACTGCAGCCTCTTCTTATTCTGATTTATTTTACCAGCACATGTCACTTATTGTTTGTAACTTTATTATTTTTTCTTATTGCAAATACAAAATGTAATTTACAGATAACTGGAATATTGTTTTCATGCATCATACTTCTCTCTGAACCTTCTCCCACATTTGTGTATTTTTACAGGATTATAGTTTGAATGTTTTTACTTTTGAATTTAAAAGATGTTCAGGTGAAGCTGCAAAAGTAGAAGCAATTTAAGTACATTCAGTGTTTATAATAGGCATGCACATGGAAAGTGAAACTATTTTTTTTGCATGTTGATAGAAATATTGCAAATGATTTTAAGTAAAATTAAATGAATGGTGGGAGTCTACGTTGTTTTATTTTATTCTTCCAGATTCAGGGGAAAAAGTTTCATTAAAACCTTATTTAAGTTAAAATGTGTATTATTATTA